TTGTTTGTGCCCTGAGTGCCTAGCTCAATGCCTGGTGGATGTTGGGGGCTCAGAAAAACATCTGTAGAATGAATAGTCTGATGGCTACTGCATCCCACGGGCCCCATCAACTTAGTCTTGTCAAACCGATCTCATCCTTTCTTCCCTCCTTTCCTCCTTCCCCACCCCCTTCACCTGGTAACCTTGGTGCAGCTAAGTGGTTGCAGAGCTCGCAGGGAATTTAATGGTGCTTTCCCTCTTGTGTGCTCAGCTGGAGGCAGGCAAAGCAGGCGTCGCTACAGGCAGTGAGTGGGCCTTGCTGGGGGAGTGACTGCTTTGTGCAAATTCAGGGCCTCCTGCAAATCAGACTCAATCGCCTTTACTTCCTGTGCTCAGGGAGATTAGATACTGCCTAATCAACGCTGATTTTTTTTCTTTTCTTTTCTTAATATTTGAAACTGCCAAATACCAGTTGCCATCCTAGTGGGTGGCTTTCAGAAATCCCCTCTTTTCTGGTGTTTAACTTCTTGAGAGTTTCAAGAAACCAGTCTCTTTGGAAAGAACCTGCACTTAGAATTCTTTGAACTGCTGTGAAGCTCTGGCAGGAAGTGACTTGGGATCTGAGTTAGACAGTATTGTCTCACTCCCAGGAGAGATGGGAGTAATAAGGTATAGGTGCATCTGGGTGTGGCTTTAGGTCATTCCTGTGGCCATCTCTCCACGGGAGGCCTGTTTTATAGAGCAGTCTGATCTGAAATCAGGATTCCTGCTGACACTGTATAGCGTCTGTCACACATTGGTGGCGTCCCTGCTTTGCAGAGATGGGGTGGATAAGCTTTCTCTCATCTCAGCCTAACCTGTTGTCATCTTTAAGTGGACTGAAGAACAATTCAGTAAAACTTTGTAAGTGTTCAATGAATCCTACACATTTCTCCAAATACAACAACTGTTCTGAGAAGTATGTTTGGAGAGGGGCTTGGTGTCAGAGAGGGCCACGTATCTCCACACCACTGCATGGGAGGTGGAGATCTATTACTTCAGTCAGCTGAGTAGACAAACACTGGCTTTCTTCCCTGGTTCTTGTGACGTATTTTAAGAGAGGGGATGCCCGTTGTGGGTCAAGCACCACACACAGTGCATGACATACGCTATTTCATATAACCCATAGTGCTTCAAGGTAATTTATTGAACTCTGTGCCAGGAACTTTTCGATTGCCTCTTTTAACCCATTTAGTAACTCTTTGAGGTAGGTTCTTTTATTATAATCACTGTTTTTTTAGAAGAGAAAACTGAGGCCCAGAGAGATTAAGTAACTTCCACAATTCCTCACAGTCAATAATTGCCAGATCTGGAATCTGAGCCCAGGCAGTGCAGCGGTGGAGCATCCTAAACATGTCACTCACTTCCTCTCCCATGAAATAGGTATTGATTCTCCCACTTTACAGATTAGTAGCCCAGAACCCAAAGAGGTTAAGCAGCTTGCCCAAGGTCCCACAGGTGGTGAGAGATGTAACTGAGGTATCTACGCAGGTCTCTTCTTCAAAGTCTACATTTCTCTCCTACCTCATGCTGGTTAGATAGCGGATATAACAGTTTAAAAGTCAAAAGGCGGGAGGGAGGTTTTGGTGATGGGACACAATAACTAACTACATTGTATATTGACAAAATAAAAAAAAAACAAAATAATAGAACATAGCAACCACTCATCATTGCTAAAAAAAAAAAAAAAAAAAAGTCAAAAGGCTCTACAAGTCTTATTTTTTTAAAAAAAGTCATCTTCTACCTTCCTCTTCCTTATTCTTGATTTCTGCTCCCTAGAGGCAATCATTTTCAACATGTTAATACTGTTCTACTATTTACTTACATTTTTCTAAATAACATGTTTACACTATTCTAGATTTTTCAGCTTTAGATACTTTCTACTTACCACTACTGAAGATGGGGATTTTGCTCCCTTACATCCTGTCCTCCCTCACTCCTCTGTCTTCTCAGTGGAGTTACAATTTTTGGCTAGTTCAATATTCTCTACTTACATTATTAAGACTATGTAAATATTCACAGCTGAGCCATGTGCTATACTGTAGTTACATTACCTTTTTATTTAGCTTTTGGACTTCTTTCAAATTAATAAGTGTTATTTTAAAAATTTGCTTGGTTTTTATCAAGTTCTTTGACAGTAGTGTTAATATTTTCTCACTATATTCTTGTAAGCCTTCATTTTCTTTTCCTTTCTTTTTCTATTTCTTGATGATATTCCTCCCGGATCCCTTTGTCTTTCTGCTCCAACCTGGCCTGATGGTCAAGGAATGCTACACAGCTGTTATCCTGGGAGATCTACTGTTGTCTGTCTGTCCATCCTATTTGGACAGCCCTGCTGATCTTTTGGAGCTGATATTTCTATGTTGTAGCTACCCTGTGAGGTTCAAAGGGCAAGCGTTTTGGATGGGAGTATACAAAACAGAGGGGTTAAGTGTTATTTTTAAGTTACACAGGTGTAAGTGGCAGAGCTGGGCTAGAACTGGGCTCTCTGCAGTAGGCCACAGTGCCCCCTGCAGCCTGGCACAAACGACCAACATTGCTGCTGGCCAGACCCCATGGAACGGTATAGGGTGGTGGGGATTTGATGCACACCTCCACCTAACTTCTTTCATAGACAGAAGATATGGTTAAGGACTTTGAATCATACTGCCTGAGTCTGCCACTTTAATAGTTATGCAGTTTGGAGCCAATCATGTAATCTTTCTAAGCCTCAATTTCCTCACTTGTAAAATAAAAATAATAGTGCTACCTCATAGTCTTCATAAAGATTAAGAGCCATAACATTTTAAAGAGTACATTGTTATGTGCTTAGTAAATGTTAAACACTTCATGATTATGGTCTAGAACTTCCCAGGAGGTAGTAATACTTTTACTACTGGACCCCTATAATACAGTATTCTTGAGTTTCTGGGCCTTGTTGGAATATTGTATAAGAGCTGTGTAGAATAGACTTTTCTAAATGAGTGATTTATGCATCTCACTTGAGCAAGTAAATATTGGCTAATATGATTTCCCTGTCATTCTTCAGTTTACCCCAGTTCACCCTCTGAGGATTAATGCTGTCTCTTGGCCAGCCATGGTCAACTGACCAAGGTTGAAATGAATATCATTCAAATGTCCCCATTTGTGCTTTTTGCTAATTTTTGGCTTTTACATTTCTCCTTATTGTCAATCGATGCAAAGATGTTAAATTTGGGGGTAAGAGTTTTTCCTTGGGAGAAAGGAAAATCTATACTTCATTTACTTCCCTCACTTCCTTTATACTACTTTCCTTTCCTGAACTATTTACTATAATAATTTGTGTTATAGAACAGACAGAATAGAGAAAGACAACTCAAGTTTGAGATGAACTTTTGGGGAAAGAACCTCTAATGCAGTGTATTTCAAATTGTAGGTCATGATTCAAGATAGGTTGTGACATCACCTCAGTAAAATTACAACTAGCACTTGAAAAAAATGGAATAAAAGTATCAGTCTGTATCACACAAAGAGAAACATTGTTTTGTGAGCTTGTTTAAATTATATATGTATGTATGCATGTATAAATTATATATACACACATATTCATATATATGTACACATGTGCTGGCCGGCAATGTAAAATTATTTCTTACTAAGGGTTGCAATTGAAGTTTGGAAGACATGTGTCTTAATGGCCTTTACTGTTTTGTTTACCTTCTTGTATCTTGGTTCCTTCATCTGGCCTTTCTTCAAGAGAATCCTATTCAAATTAAAGAAACAACAACAACAACAAACCCCAAACCAGAGACTCATTTGTTTTCCTCTTCAACATTTCCTGGGCACTCACTACGTAAAGATTTTTGGATAAAGGTCATTACTCTCAAACCTATAATCTCATCAGGGAAACAAACAGGCAAACTGAACATTACACAAGTTAGAATAATTTAAATGTTATATGATACAAGTAACATATTGGGAAAGGCAGAGTATTTCACTCTGGCCAGGGTATCATGGAAGGCTCTATGCAGCAGTAAGCCCAAAATGTCAGTAATCAAAGATTGGTAAGAAAGGGCTTGGAAGAAGTAAAACAGTTTGGCTGGATCACATGGTTAGAAAGATGGCTTTTAGAATAGGGGTTTTAAAAGCAATAAATCATATTTTGCCCTTAATAGAGCATGTAGATCCACAAAGAACCTGTTAGAATGTTAATTCACTTCAAAACATTTGAGTACAGTGTGATAACTGTGTTATAAGTTATATTCTAGGAACCGTGAATTGCCCCAATTGGAAATTTATACTCCAGGGATGGCCAGCTGGCAACACCAATCAGGAGGCCCACACTTCACAAGTGACTACCAGAAGCCTTTGTTATCAACAGCTAGCTCAATACAGGAGACTTTGCTAATTAACTTAATAAATGTCAAATGTGTTTCCATTGGTGCCATGAGTGGCTTGCTAATAATCTTAATTATGCAGACACAAGTTCTCATCTGTGAATTCAGAACTAGTATGTGGATTGGCTACAAGCAAGTCAGTCCATTTTTACAAGAGGAGGTATGAAAACATAACAAGCCCTGTAACCCATTCTTGTATGAATGGTACCCAAGGCTTAAGTGCTAAACATACCCGTGTCCAGCCATTAGTACAGAGGACTGTTTGCCTCATGCTGACCACAAGGGTGACAGAACTTTGCCCCCAATAATTGACACAGATACCTCAAGTGACCCTTTCATGAAAGTGTGGTTAGACCACCCAAAAAGAGAAGAAAGTTGGGACTTTAAGCTTACAGAGCAGATTATATAAACTGTTGTGCTACTACTTCTAATAAATGATTACTAAATGATTCTGTGAGGCAAACTGAGTCTGAGTTTTGCTTTCATTTTAAGTGGGTAGTGGATACCATTATCTACCATTAAGAGTCTGAGTGGTAAATGACCAAACTGGTTGTCAGTTTGAAAAATAGCTAAGTAAAGACTTGGTATTTTTGCATTACTCCCCAATAATATCACTCAATCATCACCTATTTATCAAAGCAAGTTTATTTGATTACTTATTCCAGACAAATAATGAGGCTCATATGTACAACTAAGAAATAAGACAATCCAAATAAAAGGCAGGAAAAATATGAACTACACAAACAGCTATCTAAAAGGAACAGCAGCTGCATTCATTTTTACATAATACTGTGGAGTGATGTAGCACCATTTACCTCAAAGATATCCTAAGTACTTTATAAGGAAATTATGTGGGTCTTTGCTAAAATGCAGCAATAGCTTAAAAATTATAGCAAGCTTGATTATGATAATCTTATGTTCAACTAATTTCAAATATAAAATTATTTCAGAAAAAATAAGGAATTTGAGAAGGATGTGACCTTGTACAATTCTTTTTAAAAATCCTAGGGAAATAGTTACCATTATCGAGAATGGTTTTCTTCCATCATCTGCACTATTTGTAACTATCATCATGACCAACTTAAATTCTAAGCTTTGGACAATTTAATGGGTAGTTTATTTAAACACACACACAATTTTATTTATAGAAAAAATATTTAACTAGAGGTCTCCTATTTATTGGTTTATACAGTCTGTTCTGGCCTGAACTCAATGGGTTACAATCTTTAATGATTTATTCTATTTTCAACTATCTCTAATTATCATTCTAAGCTATTGTACTCTGATCAATCTTACGTTGAAATTTGTTGAACTGAAGTTTGACCCTGTTAATGAATCTAAATTAACATGAGGATATTTGTAAATCTGATAGTAAGCATTTTTTACATGCCAACGATGTTATGATGCTTCCTCTTATGTAAAGAAACTTAGAAATTCAGTGTTCCAGAGTCCTCCATCAGGCCATTTTACTAGTTAAGAGCCAGCAAAATCAAATGGAGGAAATTCTAAATATTCCAGAATTATTCAATCCTGGTGGTTCCTAACCCCCATCCATCTTTTTTGGGTCATAAACCGCATTCAGAAGCTGATGAAAGCTATGAACTTCCACCCAGAAAAATGCATATAAGCAAAAACTTCTTATATACAATTACAAATTCCCTAAGGGTTCACAATCCCCAAGTTAGGAATTTCTATTTCAAAGCTGTGGGACACAGTGTAAAATACGTTCAGCCCATTTTGACATTGCCCATCTTCACTTAATTGCTACTTAAGTAAGCCTTTTAATAATGCTACTAAATTGCTGCCTTAAGACAAAGTTACTCTTATTTTAAGGACCAACGTAGACTTTTAAAATTCATTCTCCTGCTTCAATTTTACAAGGTTTTGAGCCATGTACCTTCTATCTCAAATTGGGTTAAGTCCCTAAGGTTTAAATTAGCAGATAGTATATATCAAAGGAAAATAGTTATTTTCCATAGCTAGTCACTAAAAAATGAGCAGATTAAAATTTAATAACCTTGTAAAAACGAACATGTGTCTATATATTGAGGAATAGGCTATTTGACTTTATAAAATAAATTTCTAGGTGTAGTTTCACACTTGAAAACAAACACGTGTACTTAGTGTGTCTGAACATAACATACAATCCTGGGCTATACCTTCTCCTTTTACTTACTTGGAACCAGTACAATGGAGGCCTCCTACTATGGTAACAAAATGTACTTACTGAAAGTTTTACCTACTGGTCAGGATAGAAAACACTTCATTTCTGACCAAACCCCTCACCTCAAAAGCATCTAATCAACTCCTTAATTACCAATTGAAGAATGCTATCTTTGAGGATTCTAATGTTCAGCCATCAACCATGTTGAATGGACTCAATACAAAAGAAATAACTATACTACAGTACAAATATTAGGCTTGTTGCTTTCTTGCTAAAGTAAAACTCACTAGTCACTCCAAAGAATCTGTTAACATAATAGGGTAAACATGGATGTATAGGAATTCTTAAAGAGACTTTGAAGGCTGATTTAAAAGCAGGGGATATTAAATACAGAAATGCACACACATCAAGCATATAAAATTTAATCAAATCCCTTACTAAAGAATTTTTCAGTTTGAAGTCAGGTGACAATTATTCAGTCCTTTCATAATCATTCAGTTCTGCTAAAATAGAATATTTGTAGAACAAATCCCAAAATATTTGAATAAAGGAAAAGGGTCAGCTAAGTGAATGGCTTCGCCAAAGAAGCTACAATTTGGTTATGGGATTTTACTCTTGTCTTTCGCAGCTATGTAAAAAGTGAATAATGGAACAATCGCTTTTTCTTGCTCTTTTTTACTTCTGAGAAGTTTCTTTCGTATTTTCCTTTGTACAAGTTAAACACTAGAATATGCATTTCAGAGACATAGAGGTCAGAGAACAAGAGTGGGAGAGGGAAAGATACTGCTGACAACTGGAATTCAAGAACTTCAACTCAACAGTAAAGGGTTTGCAAGAGAGAATGAACTGCTATTTCTCTCCTGGCTAGATGGTGGGTATTTCCCCTGCATTATTAAGTGTAGCATTTTGTGTTTTTCCTACTGGAAATACTAATGTTAAGTGAGAGCTGAAGAAGGTAATATCTACTGGCATTCCAGGCTGTGCAATCCATACATTTTCATTTTAAATATAATAATTCAAGCATAATCCATATTTAAAAAATTAGACTAAAGACAGACAGTAAAGGTTTTAAAGGTTTCTCTTTGAAAAGATGGTATCTTACAGTACATACAAAAATACTCTGAAAATACATACGACTTCATTTACAAAACACTGAATCAACATATTACAAGAATTACATGGTTATGGATTTTAATAAACTGAGCATGCATTCATGAAACTTAAAAAAATATTAAGAAATGCATTGAAAAAAGCAGTGTAAAAAAAGACAACTCATATAGTTAAATAAAAATTACAAAGGTCCTGAGCCAATTAATGGTAACAATGTCATTCAAAAATGCCTTTAGGTCTCAATAAAATCCACTGCTTATTTCTGCATGCCTAGTCCGTGAAGAAACTGTTTGAAGTTGTGGGGTAAGTAATGGTCAGGAATTATCATGCTGAGTTAATTTTACATCTCAAAAATACAAGTTTGCCATACTTAAAGGTATCTTATTGTTGATGCTGAAATGAGTTGCTCCTCAGTAAAAAATATCAATCAACTAACAAGAATGACATGAGATAGGATATGTAACAATTTTACCATTCATATACTGACTTTCAGTATCCTGGTTATATTTTAATTTTTAATAAAGATGCATTTCTAAGGCCTCCATGGGAGGCAAAATATAGAGAATTTATGGTGCCCAATTCTTATGTAATCACTGGACTAATCCTCCCTGGTAATTATGCAACATTTTGACAGAAAGGCACACAAAAAATAAAAGTTTAAATATTCCATGTGCCAATCTGGAAAAAATAATTTAAATCAACAGGACAGTACATCTACACAAATGAGGAAAGCAGAAAAGATACCTCACATTCATTTATCTCAGGTTTCACAAAGTGGCTTCAATGCTGAAGTAAATGTGTTAACACTTGGAAAATTACAAGACAATTTTTTTTTTTCAACTTTTTCAGCTCTATACAATGATTACAACATGAGACTTTAAAAAAAAAAAAAGGAGTTCAGGACTTGTTTTATCAGTGTCCAGGTGGCCAAGAACTGGTTCCCATAACAGAGAAACAAGCATCAAAAGTTAAGGCAGTAAAACCCCCAAATGCAAAACCATAATATTGTAGATGACAATTTGATAGCAGGTGATCCTCAGAGAAGTATATGTAGCAATCAGTGACAGAATGCTACAGCATCTGCAGGTCAAAGTGTGAGAGTTGAAAAACCACTTCAAGGTTGCTAGGCTGATGACTGTAACTTTCACCTTATTTTATGTATGACAGCCACTTCTATTTTAATAAGAGCGGCTGCATCTATGCCACTACATGATTGTATGTTCACTTAAGTGAGGAGGCACTGCTTTTACCGATTAAGGGTCAGTCGAATGGAATTTTTGATGACACGGATGTTATTTGCTGGAACTGGAGATGATGAGTCTGGTAGTTCTTTACTGGGTAGTCTCTATTACAAAGAAATAGAAACAAAAAAGGAAAAGCATATACATACATATTATAAAGGCCCACCTAGTATATCACTCACATAACTCTGAGTTTTTCTCCAAATCCCTTAACCTCCTAAACACTCAAGTGTGTGTTAAATATATCTTCCAGTGTTCATTTCTTGCTTTTGGTGGTATGTATAGGAAAAGAAGATTTTGTTAAATCAACTGATACTCTTGACTGAGAAATGTGTGAAGAACACAGTCCTCCTTAAAGTCAGGCAATGGTAAAGAGAAATAGGAAGTGCTTGGTGACTAAACAGGAAACTCTTGGGGTGTGAGGTGAAAAATGAGTGTGTGTTATGGAGGAAAATTTGATGTCTGAGAGTTATGTCCCTCCCTTAATTTCTGTAATCCACTCATGGAGAAGAACACTGTAAACGAATTGTGAGATAATCAAGTTTTCAGGAAAACTCAACTTTGTAGTCAGGCTATGTAACTTTGATGATGGTGATATTCAGCTATATCTGTGTGAGGAATTCTGAGGACACTAAAGATTATTATAGAATAAGGGCAAAATCTAAGAAACCAAGAAACAAAGAAAGACCCCTAAATACAAACTTTTGTGCCATAAAAACTTAGTTTCTTGTCAAGAGAATACTGTAGAAGTTAATTTTCCCCTTATGTTACCTTCACTAAACAATTATCTATCTCATAACTACATCCGTTCAAAACCATTACAAATAATTTCAGATATACACACAAGTAGAGAATAGGGCAATGAAGATTTAGATGCCATAACCAAGCCTCACACATTATTAAAATCTTGCCACATTTGTTTGGTTTATCCACTTATCTTTCATACTTGAAATATTTAAAAGCCCAGATATATCATTTCACTCTTTTATACTTTAATATCTACCTCAAATTTTTTCCATTATCACACATAATTATACACCTATTTTTTTTATAACTCAGTCTTATGTCAAAAGAGAAATTTTATAAATTCTACAACTAATAGCATATGAGGATACTATTTTGCTTTAGAATGGCCAATACACCCTGGGGAACCTGACCGGGTAACAGTTGATCATGATGAGAAGCACCTTATTCTTTAATGGGAGGGGTGAAAATAAGCCATTTTGTTCACTGTAAACTCTCAGAGAAGGACTTCCTCTGATCTACACTAGGCTGATTTTTGAGCGCTTGCTTATTAGCTTACCATGCTTAAACTATATATTATTAGTTTCAATAGTAATTCTTAAAGAATACATTTTTAAGTTGAGATTTAGGGGCTCTAGCTAATGTTTTAAAGATGCAGTAAGCTCTTGAACAACACATGAATACATGACATACCTAACCAGTTAAGCAGCCTACCTAAGAGTAGGCTATTAGTAGTTAAGTAGTTACCTGTGGGGCTAGGCTGTGCAGTGCATGGCAGCAACCCCCCTGCGGAAAGCATGTGACATATGTAAGTGGCATTATGCACGGATATTCAACTGCACAGGGGTCGGCACCCCAACCCCCACACTGTTCAAGAGTTACCTGCACTTACTATGTACTACATTTGGTTCCTCCAAAATATTAATATGTGTGGTTCCTAATGATCAAATCTAAATTTTCACAGTAAGCAGTGGTACACAACAAATGATAAGCTATCAGGTGTTGGTAAGAAATTTCTGGAGCTAGCCAGTTAGCTCAGTTGGTTAGAGTATGGTGCTGGTAACACTAAGGTCCAGGGTTTGATCCCTGTACTGGCCAGCAAAAAAAAAAAAATTCTCTGCTGAGCACCCAACTGCTTCTTAGAAGATAAATAAAAAACAAAGGGTGGGGCCGGCCCGGTGGTGCACTGGATAGTGCGCCGCTTGGGAAGCGCGGCGGCGCTCCCGCCCGAGGGTTCGGATCCCACATACAGACTGGTTCCCACTCACTGGCTGAGCGAGGCGCGGGAGCAACACTGAGGGTTGCAATCCCGTTGCCGGTCCCCGGTCCGGTATGGGGGCAACACTGAGGGTTGCGATCTGTTGCCGGACACGGAAAAAAGACAAAAAAAAAAAAACAAAGGGTGAAAATAATCTAAATAAACCATGAAGTCATCTTAAACTATTCCCTCTTTTCTAGACTTCTGAGGTATGTACATTCAGGACAATATACTTTGTTTGCTATCTCCAACCCCAACTATACTGCTGGTCCCTGAGGACAGGACAAAATCGTACCTCTTCCCTTTCCAGTGCTAGGCTTTCTTTTCTCTCTCTCTTTTATTTTCTTCCCAGTGCTAGGCTCTTAACAAGCTTTTTGTACCTGTAGACTACCTGAGTTTTTACCCATGTATTTGCCTATGAAGACTTTTACCTTTTTGCGTGATGTATCAATAGTTGGAATAGGCATAGATTCTCCTCCAATGGCATCCTAAAAACAGAAGAATTATATACGAATGAAAACTTTCTTTTCTACATGCAGAGGTTTATTCCTACTTGAAATAAAGCGTAACCAAAACCTGATCTAATCTGACCTACTTTCTAATATAGTACAGGTTGAGCATCCGTAATCTGAAAATCCGAAATGTTTTGAGCACCAACATGAAACTCAAAGGTCATGCTCAAAGGAAATACTCATTGGAGCATTTTGGATTTCAGATTTCTGGATTAGACATATTCAACCAGTAGGTGTACACAAATATTCCAAAGTCAGAAACGCTTCTGATCCCAAGCATTTCACATAAGGAATACTCAACCTGTACTTTTCCTGATACGTGGCTCTTTAAAAGTAAATATTCTGAAGCACACTATTAATTATATTTACCACTGGTTTTCTTTTTCTCTCTTCAGCAGCACGGGAGTCCTTAAATGTTGATTCAAGTCGAATGAACTAAAATATAAACATTAAAATAAGTTGCTATCATGTCCCTATAAAAACCATACAAATCTACATAAACCAAGAAACTAATTAGGGACTAGGCTATTATCAAAAGCTACCACAAATGTGGGTTGGTGAGAGAAGATAATTTAAATTAGATTAAATTCACCTGCCACCTTTAATTTCTACAGTGTGAGAGATGTTTTCGGTTAAATCAATTTAGATTCTAACAAATAAAACACAGTTTCAGCACCACCTACTGGAAGCAGGGGAGATCAACATTATAACATAAGAAATACTACTAAGAAAATTTAGTTACCAATAATGACTTCTATAAGTCAAAGAGAAACTTATAACAATATTTCAAATTTTCAGACACATTAGTAATTTCAATTTAGGATGAACAATTAATATGGTTCCTTTAGAGTGTGGGCAAATACTCTTTCAAACAGTCAACTCCTAATGGAACACTAACAAATCTATGGAGAACTATGAGTTTCTTTGGTATTAAGTTAACTTCATTTTTTATTTCTTTGAGTGGCTGGCCAGCATGATGATCTGAAACTTGGTGTTATCCTTTTTGTCTTTTTTCGTGTCCGGCAACGGACCGCAACCTCAGTGTCGCCCCCGTACCGGACCGGGACCGGCAATGGGATCGCAACCCTTGGTGCCGCGCCCGCCCCTCGCTCAGCCAGTGAGCGGGAACTGGTCTGTATGTGGGATCCGAACCCTCGGCGGGAGCGCCGCCGCGCTCCCAAGCAGCGCACTGTAGCAGTGC